TGCATATCTTGGAGGCAGGTCACTCTTGTAGATAGAAGGGTTAATAGCTGGGCTGGTGTTTACATTTTTCCTTTGGTAGAATGCAGAGTACCTTCTGGTACCATGGATACTAGTCCTTAGTGGTGAGGGCTTTAGGCAGGCACCGGTTCTGCTTCTCCACGTTCAGTGAGTTGTGTGGGTGTTGTCTTCAGTAATAGGGCCTTACCATCAATAGCCTTGGCAATAACTTGGTTTGTTTGGGGATTACCCTGGAGCCTCTTTGGCCAACAACTCAATTATTCCTGGTACCAGAAGCTTCATTTGGTGACCAGAGATGTCCACTTGGAGCTCTGTCTCCTCCATTATTTGGCGATTTTATTTAGAGCATCTTCATATATCTATATATTATAGCAAGCTTCTACTGTATTAGGTTTCCATATGATTCTTCAAATGGCCCTTAGTTTTGCTGTCTCTCCCTGTATTCCCTTCTTCAGCCCCCTCTTACCTCCCCCTCCCAGTCTGTTTCTCCCACTACAGTCTCTCTTTCCTCCCATCCATTCATAACTATATATTCTATTTCCCCTTCCTAGGGAGGTCCACACCCCTAGTCCTTTACTCTCTACCTGACCTCTGTGGTTATACAGATTGTAGCTTGCTTATCAATGACTTAACAGGTAACTTCCATATATATATATATATATATATATATATATATATATGTAATATTTGCTCTTCTGGGTCTGAGTTATTTCACTCAGGATGTTTTTTTTTTCTACCTCCATACATTAGATTAATGTTTTAGACTTTGCAAAATAGAGGGTCTGGTCTTCAGAGTGAGAAAGTTGGTGTGATAAACACCTCTTACTGGTTATTTAATAAATATGTATTTAAGAAACTGTGGGTTGATATGTACCAAATTACAGAAATTTTCATTGGCTGTTGCAGATGGCAAAATGTTCCCAGAGTTATCATCATATAATAAAAGCATTAAAATAGGCATATTTTGTTTAAAGTACAGTACATAAGCCTAGTTCTTTTAATCTCTTGCTGTTTACAAGGTTATATATAAGACAAGAGGTCTTGTAATCTTGCAATCAAGAAAGGTCTTCAGTCTGGGATTCAGGATTAAACTCTTTTTTTTTTCCCCACTTGCCAGTTTTGGGTTTTACTCGAGTTCTCTGTGCCTTGGTTTTCCTGTTTATAAAGTAAGAGAAAATAGTGTTTGCCTTAAGGGCTGTTTTGTGGATAAGAATAATTAACACAAAACGGTCCCATGATGTTACAAGCCACATAGCAAGTTTTCAAAATAATGTGAGACAATAACTAATTCATTAAGAGACTGCTTAATTGTACTATTTTCTAGCTATTGGCAATTGATAAAGGGAAAGCTAAAATGTAGGTGTAGGAAAATCAATTTCATTTATAATGGGAAGAAAAGAACATTTTTAACTTTACAATCGAGTATCTTTACTAACTCTAATAATGGCGATCCGTCAGTATTGTACCGAACACTGCATTCTGAAGACCTTTACAAAGTTTAATTTTTAAATTTTAAAAAGTCTTAAAGAATATTCTTATGAATTCTGTAAGAATTTCATACAGTGTATTTTGTTCATACTCATCCCCATCTCCTGCCATATCTACTCCCTTCCCTACACACCCAACTTCTTTAAAAACAAAACAAAAACAAAAAACCACAAAGAGCCCCCTTGGTGCTACTCACATACTCTTGGACGTGGGCATCCACAGGTACCACACGTTTAAAGAAAATGAATTTCCCAGCAGCTCTTTGTTTAGGGGTGGGACTTAATGCCTACCTCCTTGCTCCATGCTTGGATTGTGTTTGACTTGGGCTTTCACAGGGCGTATACTGTCACAGTGGTATGTACAACTGCCCCGCTGTGTCTGGAAGATGATTTCCTTGTTAATCATCCATTGCCCATGGTCCCTGAGTCTTGGGAAGATGGTGTGTTACAGGAATACCATTCAGAGCTGAGCACTCTGCTGTGCTTATTCTCTTCATCTTAATAACGCGTGGGTCCCTGTGTTGATTACCATCTCCTGCAAAAAGAAGTCTCTCTACTGATGTCTGAGAGATGCACTAATCTACAGGTAAAATAATAAGCCATTGGTAATTAGTTAAATCCCATGTCCACTTAAAAGAATGGTCGGTTCTTCCCTAGGACCTATGATCTGTCTAGCCACAGGTTCCTAGTCCTGATCATGGTGCCAAGTGTGAGTTCCATCTTGTGGATGAGGCCGTTAAACACAAGCAGAAAGCGCTTGGTTACGCCCGTTACCTTCATGCCAGTATTGCACCGGTGGGTATATCTTATCAAGCAGGTTGTTATTGTAGCTCGCAGCATTCATAGCTGGGTTAAATTCAGGATCAGTTTTCTTCTCTGGCAGCATGCATAGCACCATATAGCACTATAAAAGCTAGCACTGGGGATTGAAGCCTCTAGCATCCCTGGCTCTGCCCTGCCATCCCACCCCACACCCCATTTCATCCTTTCTGTTCCATAATTCATCTTTCCCCTTTTATGCCACTCTGTTCTATCTCCCCTCTCTTAAAAGTCCCCCCCTCCAGGATCCCTTACCGACATCTGTGGGTGTTTCAAACAAAGCACAAATATCTAAAGATTCAAAGATAGCATCTATAAATGAGAGCAAAAATGTAACATTTGTTTGTCTGGGTCTGGATTTTATTTCACTCAGGCTGAATGTTTCCAGCTCTATTCATTTACCTGAAAATTTAATAATTTCATTTTTAGCATCTAAGTAATATTCCATTATGTAAACATATTGCAGCTACATTATCCATTCATCCATCAATGAGCATCTAGGATGTTTCCATTTCCTGATTATTGTAAATAAAGCAACAATGAACATGGATAAGCAAATATTTCTCTAGTGGAATATAGAGTCCTTTGGGTATATTCCCAAGAATGAAATAGCCAAAGCATGTGGTAGATCTGTATCTAGCTTTTTGAGGAACCTCCCCCAGTGACTTACACAGTGGCTGCCTCAGTTTACACTTCCACTAACAATGAATAAGTGTTCCCCTTTCCCCACATCCATGCCAGCATTTGTTGTTATTTTTTTAATTTATACATACGTGTTTTTAACATTCAGTCCCCTGAGCATTCAGCAGGGCCTTTGGTAATAGACTTTTTCTTTAATTCCTGAAAAGCCTCTTCCATCATTTCCTTGATCTTCTTATCTATATTCTCTTTCTAATGATTATAAAACTCTACTTGTTACAGTTTGGAGCCTTTTAAAAATGTCCCTATTTTTCTTAATTTCTAATTTCTTTTTTATTCTATCTGTTATGGAATTTCATCAGATTTATTTTCTAGTTCTTCCACTGAAGTACATGTTTGTACTTATATGTGCATGCATATACATGTATGTGTTTACTTATATATGAATGCATGTACTCGATGGTATTATTCTATTCTTATTTCATGGGTATCTTCTACCCCCTGAGGAAAATGTAATAAAAATGGTTTGTTTTATTATTAGCTTTCTTCAAATATATGACAACCCTTGTTTATATGTAACTGAAACATTAAGAAATGTTTTACTATTGGACAGTTGGGGGGGGTCGGCTTCATAGTATTGATAACAACATCAACTTGACCATTTCCTTATTATTTGTCCTAGATTATCTTTCTCAGGAAGGTTGTTAGTCCCTTCTCTGTACCAATTACTCAGTAGCACAGGCTAGGTAACCTTTAAAGAAAAGAGGTTTATATTGGCTCATTTTTGTGGTATAAGATTGAGATGCCAAATCTGGTGATGGTCGTCTTGCTGGCAGAGTCCTGAGGCAGAACAACACACATGTCAAGAGACAGGCAGCATGTATGTGTCTCCTTCTGCTTCCATCTCTTCTTAAAAATCTACCAGTGTTCAGTCAGAGGCCTCCTCCCTAACGAACCTGTCCATTCACCTTTCCAAGCCCCCACCTCCAGACTCCATGTCTGGATAAAATTTCAACCCTCCTAATACTTCTCATTGGGCATGGAACTCCAACACGAGTTTGGGAGGCGATAAACCATATCCAGACCATGCCAAAATTAGTGTCTACGGTGGTGCATTTCTTGTCCTCTACCTATGAAATATAAGTCTAGCTATCATAGATGATGAGGCACTTCTGGGAAGCAGTGTGTCAGCTGTGAGTCTTCCTTTACCACAAACACGTTAACTCGGGGTTCTTGTGGAGAAGTTAGGCTTGGGGTGTGGTCCTTCAGACACTGAGTTAAGAACCTGTTTCAACACTTCACTCATAGCTTCAGGAGCTGTCAGTCTCCCAACTATTCAGCAGCGCAACCGCTTTCCTTCCAAGTTCGTGTTTGTTAGCTAATGCCTCCCTGTCTCTTACTCACGTCGCCTGTCATTGTCCACATGTGTTCTTGGTACTGCTCCTCCGCTTCTGCTTATCTTGTTGCCTTTGTCTCATAGTTGATGAGTTTTTATAAACCTGTTACAGTCACTTTAGTGAGATTTGGGAGGTAGCAAGAGTGAGTGTGTACAGTCGGCATGTAACCTACTTGTAAAATTTTAAAGGTATTATTTATCCCTGTCATATGTATCATAAATACTTTGTGGGGTTTGCTTTTGGCGGCCTCCATAAAGCATTTCTTACAGTAATTCCTATTTCATTCAAATATTTCATATCAGCCTTCTCGTTGTATTCTATGGATAAACTAATTCTTGACAAACCATAAGATTTTTCTCATTTGTTGCTGTTCACATATTTTCTTGGGTCATTCTCATGTCCCGTTCCCCATTACAAACTTCATTCATTTATGTCTTTCTCATTGATGTTCTTCACTTTCAAACTCAAATTAAATTATGTTATTTTTGGCCTAGTACAGCCAAAATGTAAGGTGGTAAGAAGGCTGAAAGTCAGCCGGCTTACTAAGATACACAAGTAAGTCAGTCATGTGATTGATTGATGTTATGATATATAAATAACATTGATATAATATATTGGTATAATATAAATTTGATTTCAGAGAACTTCATCTACAATAAATTTGTCACCAGGAGAAGTGGAAGAAGAAGAGGAGGATCCAAACACTTGTGGGCCCACAGGACTTTGGGAAGCATTAACTCCTTGTAACGGATGTAGGAACCTTGGCTTTCCTATGCTTGCTCAGGTAAAGGTTTGCTTTTATTAAGGTAAAACAAAGATGTAAGATGGTTGCATATTTATTTGATTCCATGTTTTCCCTTCAGAAATGTACTTAGTTAGCTTATTGTGTGCAGCAGTGCGGCATATAATGAATTTATACAATTTTTATGTTTTTAAAATTTTGTTTATAATGCTGAAAATTTTTTCTTCTTACACACTTTTAATGTTTGATTCATAAATATGTCATCTAAAAGAACAATATTTTTAACAAATAGTAAGATGTGATGTAAAGCTATAGTTAGAGGAAGCTATATTAAGGTTGTTTAAAAGCATCGATAATGATGATATATAATTTCTTACCACAATGGAAGCATTATGGAATAATATGAATATATCCCATATCTCACTGGGAAGTTTTTAAAGTGAGAACAAAGCAGGAAACACTGATTATACATTCATAAACATTTCACTATTTATTATGGACCCTAATTTTCAGAAATTAAATAATAGAGTTAAGAAATTTAGAACTGAAAAATATTTCATGAGATGAGATAAGCTTCATACAGATGAAGATAATGTTACAGTAAGATTGACTATGTTGAAATAGTTAGAAAAGTAATCTAAGACAGATAAGAATCATTTTGTCTAGAAATGTGTATCATGGATATAATATTTATGTTCTGTGTTGTGTCTAGAAACTATCATTTTTCTCATGGTTATATCACAGAAAGTTTGACGATAGCCTTCTAATTTCCAATAAGAATTGCTGTGGAAAGCTAAGTGGGAGATTCAACTTGATATATAGTATTTAAATTTTTCTCTGTAGGACTTTTGTAGTATCTGTTATTAAGAAATAATGGACTGTGAGTTTCTGTGAAGGTGGAAGATCAGTTCTTTGATGTTCAGAATCTGTGGATCATAGAAGTTCTTGTCGTAGTCAGAACAGTGATGAACCAGTAGATTGTCTTCACTTAAGGTCTTCTTGCACAGCATAAAAATCTATACTGTGGGTGTTTACCTAGGTGAAGAGGAAGGGAGAAAGCATAGATTTTTGTTTTATGGATATCCTAATCTGATTAACAGTTTCATGATAATGAACATCTTTGCCCATTTTAATAAAGTTCCAGTCTTAGTAAAAGTATGTTTTTAAACTATTTGTGTTATATTCTTTAAAAGTTGGGCTCTTAGAACAAAATAAAGTATAAAAGCCATTCCTAAAACACTCTACCACTTAAATCCTTAATGCTGTGACTATATGTGGTTTCCCAACACTTCACTAATGACTGCTCTATGTATGTTTTAGTTATTTTTTAAGTATTGGTAGTAACTTTCTTCTGATTATAATGTTTAAATGCTGGGTTTTTCTTTGACTCTTTGTCTGTGAAGACCAGCATTGCTTCAATAAATGTCTCAGATGTTCTAGATATTAATATTTCAGTAGTTACATTTATCACAAAGTGTTTCTAATCTTCAGCTTTTTTGTTGTCTTAATTTGTATGTGTGCACAAGTATATTGTGCAGCTTTTTAATATAAAGTTCATTAAACTTTTCAAAGCTTTAATTTATTGCTTTTAGAATTACTTTTATCTTCAATTACAAATACTACTCTGTATTGGATTTCACTTGTTAATACCTAGTTTTCCTTAGCTGTCCTGTGAGTAATAACACATTCTTATTATATTTCATCCTATGTTTTGGATTTACATCTAAAATCTTATTTATTTCTGCTTTCCTACTATGTAAAATGCATGACTTAGTGTTCCTATTATTACTCCATGTTATTATATTAAAACTATTACCTGATTTGATTGTTTGCTTTTTAACTTTTATATTTTATAATTAATATGCCAAGTTTAAAAAGTGTTCTTGTTTGATTTTAATTGCTTCAATATTAAATACACAAATTTACTTGTGATGCAGTATTTTTTAAATTGAATTTAATCTAGCAAACCAGAAATGGGACTCTTACTAAAGCTCATCACATATAAGTCTTGGGAATATATGTTGTGTGTCTGGATACTATTATTCATAGGCTCACTTTCACAAGTGTGCATGCACATATAAATGAGCCATATATATGTTTATAGGTTTTTATTTCAAAAAGCATGTGAAGGATTTTTACAATTTTACAGTTAAAATACAAACATATATTTTATTTTATCTTATTTTTTTCTTTATTAAGAAATGTTCTACTCACTCTATATACCACCCACAGATCCCACCTCCTCCCTCCTCCCATCTCCCAGCCCTCCCTCCCAAGCCACCCCACATCCCCCAAATCAAGGTCTCCCATGTGGAGTCAGCAGAGCCCAGCACACTGAGCCTAGGCAGATCCAAGCCCCTTCCTACTGTACCAAGGCTGCGCAAGACGCCACACCACAGGCACCGGATTCCCAGAAGCCTGCCTGTGCACCAGGAACAGATCCTGATCCCCTGCCTGGGTGTTCCCCAAATAGTTCAAGCCAAACAACCATCTTCCATATCCAGAGGGCCTAGTCCAGTCCCGTGGGGACTCCACAGCCATCAGTCCACAGTTCATGGGCCTCCAATAGTGTGGCCAGTCATCTCTGCACTTCTTCCCATCACAAACATGTATTTTAAATTATACTTATTATTAGTGTGTGTGGATGTATGCACCATGGTGCATGCGTAGAGGTTGAAGGATGACTTTGAGGCATTGGTTCTCTCCTCCTATCTTTATATAGATTCCAGGATAGAGCTCAGGCTGCCAGGCTAGCTCACACGGCAGGCACTTTACCCGCTAAGGCATCTTGCTGGTCCTGTGTGTGCTTTATGTATTTTATAACTTGCATCATCTTCAGGCTGCAACTTGTTTTTTCATTATAGTGGATTTTCTGAGCATATGATTCAGTCATCCAGAAATAATATATTTTAAATCTTTAAAAATTATTTACCTTTAATTTATTCAGTATTTCTTAGCTTTTTTTCAAAGACTTATTTCAGAACTTTAAGGAAACTTTGTGGCTTACGCTAAGATTGTGATGAGCAGCCGGGTCTCTGCTTAGAAGCAGAAAGAGAGAAAGCTTATCACCAAAGGGATATAACTCTAAAAGACACTGAGTCAGGAAGCCAGTGTTTCTGTTCTAGAGAAGCCTTAGAAAAGACTGCACAGGGATCTTGATAGCCATCTGCTCAGTGATTATCCAGGGCCCACTGAGTAGTGAGCTCAGGGTCCCTACCTGCAGGGAGCTGACAGTATGATTGCTTTCCAACTTTTTAGAGCATCATCAGCATCAAATGAAAGGTACTGAAATGAAATAACATGCCGGCGTACCATTTGAAACAGTTTTTACTTTAAAAATATCAAGGTGTTTAATTTCTTTTCATTTCTGGTGCTTTGCCCAAAGTAACCTATGATTAGATACACTTTCTCAATAATATAACCTTAGAATTTTTTGAAACTTAAGCACCCAACCCACAAAATACTTTTTTTTTTCATATTTAGAAGCTGTTTTTTTTCACATTTCTAGCATAATTTGGGAACCATTAAAGTCAGTATGTACATATCAAGCTTAATGAATAGCTATTTCCTTATAGTCTGCTATGGGTTCCTTTGTGGTTGGTGCTATTAATACGGCACTTTATATATTTTACATGCCCAGATGTGTGAATACTATATTCAGTGTATAGAACAACTTGTTCTATATTTCATATTACTACTACTTAATTTAATTGAATCTAAGTAACATGTATCAAATATATTTTATGTTTAAATCATAAAATTCAGCTTCCAAAGCATGAATATTATGGAAAGAATATACACCTAGTATCCATGTTAAACATACATCTAATCCTAAAATGTTTCTATGCTCAAGGAATATTTTGACTTGTAAAATGACAATATAGACCTAATTCCCAGTTTGGGTCCAGGTTTTGAACTGTCTTAATATTTGAAAATTTAGTTTTCTTTTTTCTTTCCTCCAATAAAAACATGGAATAAACAGACTAAATGATGGACACTTTCAAGTTCATGCCTGAGAGTGGATCATACAGTGTTTTATCTTTTCATTGTGACTGGACTAACATCTCTGCAAACAGTTCCTCTTTAACTCATGAAGGGTTAGAATCCTAAACCACATCAGGTGATTAAAGTTCTTAGAAGGTACTGAGAGTTAGTGTCACCAGAGGCTTTATATAAAACAAATAAGATAAGTTGGGCAGTGAATTAGAAGGGAAGCCACAGAAGTCCTTTCTGAAAATGATGACCACATTCAAACCTGTTTCTCAACAGTGGTAACAGTGATTAATATCCTGTTTACACTGTGTACTGTGTGCTAGACATTTCACAGACATCATTTCTATTGTGAAATGCTAGAAACCTCCTTCACATTATGCTTTCCAAACGATGGCTCATTTGGCCTTTAGCCTTTTCAAATATCATGCCTGTCCAGAAGTAGGGGTAGGGTGCTCAGCATTCAGGGTGTTCCTGGACCTTTATATTCTTCCCAAAGCAGCATGGTTTCATCTTCTAGTCTGTACAAAGACTTCTGCTGGGTCCTTGGTCTCTTCCTCAAATGTAGGTATTCAGGGTCTCGTTGGCCATGGTGCCTGTGAGGCTTCCTTGGTGGCTTCAGGAGCGTAAACAAGGTTTTCCTAGTGAAACATTATATATGAAGAAGGATGTGGTGTAGGATAAAAATGGGTAGCCAGGAGCAATAAGCATCACTAGAGCTTTTTGTGGATTCTTATCTGTACAGACTTCAAGGGAAACAGCTTGGCTAGTTCGAAGATGTTTGTATGCTTATCTCTTTCCAGCGTGGCATGGCCGTACCTGGCCAAGTCCTCACAGACAGCAGCTGCGTTGGCTAGCAGCATATTATCAGATAGTTTGAAACTGGGGCTGGTATGATCAATGCCTGCAATACCTATAGTCACCGTTCAGGCAGGGTTGTACTCGTGAATCTCTGTGCCTCTTTTGCTGGTCTGGATGAAGTCACTCTAACATCAGTGTGTACCTGAAGATGGCAATTCCTCTCTCTACTCTTCCTGTTGTACTTCTATGCA